GGACGGAAACCGCAATCGGGACGAAAAGACAACTTCCTCCCCTCCCACCCTCACCCGCTTGCAACAGTTCAACGGCGGACCGAGTCGAACACAGTGGGAACAGGGGACGAAAATGGCCGGTGGAGAAGAACGCATATATAATCGAACGGGTACAGACAGAACACTGCCACTTCACAAGCACTGATGATGTCACCTCGGCTGGTGATGAAACGTTTGCAAACAAATTGCCAAGCTCGGCGAACAGGCGAAATAGAATAATCTTTTCATTTCTGTTCTATCAATTGAAGCAAAACTTTTTACACGTTTAGTGTGGGTTGGAACAGGACCCACCTGATATATAACCCGGAGATGAAACCCTTACTCAATACATCACAAGTACCAAAGTTACAATGAAAGTAGTATCAGATTTCCAGTCAAAATTGATTATAAAAAAATATGGACAAAAATTGTCGTTTATTGTTTTTCTTTCTTCATACAATCATCATCACTACAAATGTACGTGTTAGAATGTTCAGGGCTGAAAGTTGTAAGCATATCATATTTTATTCCCGCAAAATACGGACTGCAATTAGTGTTTATATTTTTGTCAGATTTTTCAGAGGTATGTCTGATATCCTTTCGGCGATCATAAAGAGTCCTTGACTGGGACACAGAAATACTGTGCTCTGGAAATAGTTCCCACCAAAGACGAAACAACTGTCTAGTGCTCTTTGTCAGTCAGAGACATTACTTTATTATGCCCGGAATCCACGAAGTCCCAAGTAGTATGAATCAACCAAAAACAATGATCAGGTCCTGATTGTTGTAACCGTACGGGATTTAACGCGGTACTGAATTCCCAAAGGATCGTTTTCCGGTAATGTTTTCTTGTCTTGATAGAAACTCTACAGGTAATGAAATAGAATACAACTGGGAGCATGTAGGACTTTATTTATTATGCAAAAATCATGGTTATTTGTAGGAAAGAAGGAGGACAGGGGAATGCATATATCAAATGATTGATTGTCTGGATGGCTGTCAACCATTTTTATTGGTTGGCGACTCCGGCCAATCACCTCTGTTCGCCCATCGTTATTCTGATTGGTTGTCCCAGAGCAAAGGAGTTTTCAGGGAGCATGCTGACTTCCTGATACTCATGCCCATTAAATTCGCATGAACAGTTCAAACGTAGTTTATGTAATGCGGTGATCAATTTGATTGAATATGTTTTATACTCTACAATTTCACTGAGCTGACCGCGAAAAGATCATTGTGTGAATAATACTCATGTTGACCTTGTTTTCTCTTTTAGCTGCTGATCCTGATTTGTACGGAAAATACACATGCCAGTTTAATGTGGTTTCTGGATCGATTGAGTCTGCAGATGTGGAAATCACGAGTAAGTTTTACATGTATATGTACATGGTCATATCTCGCTGTATCTCGTCAGGTGCGTACTATTGATTATATAACATAAATGTTCTCCACCAGTTGATAAATATACTGGTAATGACTTCATATATGACTTCGTGTTGTCAAGACAACGTAAATTTAACGAAGCACTCTTTTTTCTTGTACCAACTAGGCTTTCATTGTTGAATCGCAATTGCTTTGGTGAACTGCTCTAAACATGAATTAACATTGGATGAAATCACAGACCGCAGTTGTTCCGTCGAGCCAGTGCTTTGTTTCAAGCAAATAGCATGCGGTGAAAGAAGTTGGTGACTGTTTGGTCGATGACCTTTGGCCTATTTCCCATTTGTTGGCATAAGTGTCCACCCACCGTAGGGTTTTCGGCCACTCTCAGCCGGAGTTGCCGTTTAGTTTGTCCTAGGTAGTTAGTTGAGCTTCCACACGAGAACACATAAGTGATTTGACATGCACTAGTAAAGGCTGCTTGACTGGAGCGGGGTGGGGTTGGGGGGTTGGCGACGGGGTATTCCTTGAAGGCCACGCAAGATGTCTAACCTCGACCCGATATCAAACTTATCATCCAGTGGCAGGCCAAAATGATCGAGGCTCTGTCCGAGTGGCCAGGCATTTTGGGCCAGCCAGCTCTCTCCCTCATTGGACCACTACGCCCGGACGGTGACAGACTTTGATCCCGACGCTGGTGTAACCTGTTCTTGGTTCAGGTGCTACCGGAAAGTATTCACGGTTGAGCTGGCCAACCGCGGGGACGATGCAAAGATCCGCTTACTCCTCCGCAAACTTGGACTTGCAGAGCACAGTCGCTACTGCAATTTCATCTTCCCGAATGAACCCGTTCCCGTAATTTTCCTTCCACTGTCGGTACCCTCGCCAAGATTTTTGGCGATTTCCTCTTTTTTCCATTCCCTGCAGGTTGTCAAACGGGAAACGGACGATTCTGTCCAGAACGCGGGTGTTGTCAATCGTGCCTGTGGCTGGTTCCAACTTGGCTGGTTGATCGAGGACCAGTTCCGCTGTCTGGTCTTCACCTGTGGTCTCTTCAGGCCCCTTATTACGCTGACCTCCGGGCGCGTCTCCTAACCATGAATGACTGGACCCAACCATTGAACTGCAACAAGCAGTCCGAGAGTGCCAACGCCTTGACAACTTGAAATATGTCTCGGCCCTTATCCAACAAGCCGATCGGTCAACATAGTGTCCGCACCCCAACGATCAACTGGCGATCGTTCCCACCCAACCAGTGGAGTTGCCAACGCCAGTAGGTCACTATCTCCATGTCGCCACTGTGGTGCTTGGCACCAACACTGCTCGTTCCGTCAGCACAGTTGCCGGCAGTGCCACAATATCGGCCACAAAGATGGTCTCTGCCGAAGACACAACCACAACCGAACGAAGCCCTCCGCCAGCCAACCCAAGCCAAACAAAAGTGACTCGCGTTCATTCTTACGGTTTGACTGCATCCTTCAAGGTCAATCGCTGAAACTTCGTCACAGTCAATCTCAACGACTACTCAACACGGTGACAATTGGATACCGCCTCCGATGTAACCTTCACTTCCGAAGACACCTGAAGAGCACTGGGTTCTTCAGCGACCCAAATCTCGTCGTTCTCTTCAACAAGCATCTGCGGTGGTTCCAGGCAACTGCGCTGCCGTGTGCCGTGTCCACAAGCCACGACCGACACGTGCTACGTGAACTGTTCCGCTCTCAATCTTCTTGGTCTGGATTGGCTCGAGGAGCTCGGACTGGTCGAGTGATCCATCAACGACATTTACCGCCCCTTTGCAAGTACCAACGGTTCATGACAAACCTGTCAGCCGTAATTCTCTGAATTCCATAATTCTCCATGACGTCCGAACTGATTGGACGAAAGGTGCCGACATCAAGTGCTGAGTCTCCTTTCCGTTCGAGATCAACGTTGATGGCGACACCTGGGTCCGCCAGCGAAAACTACTCCTACCGCGACCAAATACGAACCTGCAGACGGACTCTTCCACGGTACAAGCTAGTCCGGTTGTATCGGTTAACCGAACGTTACAAGGGGGCACTACTATGTCTGTAGGTGTGAAGTAGGACAGGTTCGGCACCAATTTGGGACTGTTTGGCTATTTCAGGTGGCGCACAGACTCGGTTACATAATTGCCCTTGAATAGCTACTACAAGAAAACCTCTTAGTTCGGGTCTACTATTAGCAATTCCTTCGGTTTCTGTACAATACAAACGTCTGTGGTTATCCTTCAGGTTGAAACACGCCTAATATTTATTTTGCTTGCTAGCGTGTCAATTGTGTACATTCTGCTGAGGGCTCTATTTTACATAGGGTTAAAGTGAGTCTTCATTCATCCTCGTGTATACGGGAGTGGGGAGTAGGTCATTAAAAAGTAATGCCTCCATGTTTATCACACAGAAGCTGTTTAAACCATTGAGCCCTCATAATTCCTATCGGTAATTCGGTTACTCTGTTTTTCCATTGTGTCCAACGAAAGGTAGCATATGAGAGACTCTCAGCAACCAATCTTGTGATTTCTCCGACTGTTTTTCGTTTCCTGCCCTATATAATCAGTCCCTCCGTTGATCAAACGCCCGGATAGTGTGGTCGGTCATTACTCCGGGAACGAGTTTAGTCATACATGCGAAGTTGTCGCTTATCCCCCCGTGACGGAACCCGTCTCCTGGTCTCGAGATGACGAACCCATTCTTATGAATGCAGTTGATGAACCTTATGTGTCCCAGTTGGATTGGACCGGACGTGTTCGGTTTGAAACGGTGCGTGTACCGAATGATCGAATAATCTTTGACCCAGTTATGCCGGAAGATCGTGCAGTGTACTCATGTGTTGTACGCAATGCAGTTGGTAATGCGACTGGAGCCATGTTCCTCCGTGTCAAAGGTGAGCGCATGCCTCTTTTCAGCATTTTCTCCATAAAAGGCTCATGAACATGAGTCCATGAGCATATGCCTTGTGCATCACCTGATACATCTCCGTCCTCTCAACCTCGTTTGTTGTTGATCGTCGTTCACCAGTGTGTGTGGAATGGGCGGATGGGTGATAATGACCTATCTTCGTTTTTTGCTGGGCCATGTTTTGAAATTCATTGTGAAATGGTCCAGTGCTGTTTGCTTGCACGAATCTGGTCGGACAATCGGACGAGCAATGCTGAGGTTAGGCGCAGAGTTTTAGGCAACTGCGGTCGCCCACTGGAGCAAGTGGTCGACCTCCATAGATTTTGTTGGTTGGGGTATGTGTTACGCATGTCACCAGATAGGTTACCACGGCNGATTTCACCGAAGCAGGTAGTGGGTGGAATAAAGCCAAGGTTGATCAAGCGAAGACCTGACACGAGGGTATGCATACCCTAACCAGGGGACTGGGTCACATAGGTCCCGTTAGGTTCCCTGGATGTGGATCTCCGAGCAGTCGTAGTCGATGGTTAGTGCATGGTAATGGTTGTTCGAACTAAAGTGAACTGTTTATCTGGTCTGAAATTTAGCCCTCAATTTATTATTTATTATGTCACCTGAGATGATGTAATAAACAAATCGCCGTACGACAATCTTCATAAGAAAGATTTTCTCGTCGACGGAATACGAATAGCCGATGCAGATTAGTTTTATTCAGGCCTTCGGTTTGTCAAAACCTGAATCGCAAGGCATCGGAGTAGTATTTTAATACTGTACTCCATTGGGGCCAATGTCCAGTTCATCGACTCTCGCGTTTTCGACCGAGTCAAACGTCTGAGGTTCAAATCCTCCCATCTGGCAAAGGACCCAACTTGAACATATTAGCATGTTCATCTGTCGCCAGTATCTGGATTTGTGAATAGCATACAAAGATTACTTGGCCTGTTTTCTATGATTTTCTATCAAGCTGCTCCTTCGCCATATAGTCCTTTTTAAACTGCTGGGAGAAGCCTTCAGTGAGTTCAAACAGGTAAGCGTTTTTAATTCTTCAAGTGTCTTATTATTTAGCATATTTGAAAATGGTTCACTGAAAACACTGAAGCCATACGAGATTTACCAAGTGGTTTGATGATACCAACGCATCATTTGAATCTCCAGTTAATTCTTGATACGGCACTTGATATCATTACGATGGTCAACTGCGGAGCATGCGATCGTCCCACCTCATCTTTTAAGCTTTGTAACATGAACATTTGTAGAAAATGAGATGCTTCAACATTCGTTGACCCCGGAATGTTGGGATACTTTTTGACTAGCTTCAACGGCATGGTTAAAGTTTGTGTCGAGGCTAAAGGGCTACGGATAATAACTAAAATTTTGGTGAGTTTTGGCTAATATATATATATATATGTATATAATGTATAATTTATTTCACACACGTCTGAAGCCGGACTGTGTGCCAAACAAATCATGATACAATGATCTTTATAAGAATAAAAACGTTCCATGATTTGCATGCGGGCTGAATTCTGTCAGGTTGCCCAGGCCAAGGCAGGTAAACCTTCTGAAGGAATCCACAACGGAAGCTTTCGGCTAGCCAAAGCTTGACCCGCAAAACAGCGAGGCGATGTGTGAAAACCGCAATCCATTGGGAGCCGTTGTCCAGTTCATTGACTCTTTCGGATTGTGGGTCGAGGCTAAAGCATTACTGGTTTTAGCTGAAAGATTACGGGTTAAGGCTAAAGGATTGCGGATCGAGACTATAGGATTGCTGCCTCTGCCTAAAGCTTGATGGAGTTAGTTTCTACTTTTATCCTGTTCACCAAAATAGACGGTATGCATATACAAGTTCGTATTGCCAGGGTGTTAGTTATTTCATACTCTCGGGTTATTTCGAAATGTTCCTCGTCAGACCGGGAACATGGAAATATGAATCGGGATTGAATCACTACTGACTGCCTTTCGTCTCTGTGCGTTGACTTGAATAATGAACACTCGCTTAAAATGGTGCACTGTAACTCCTCCGGATATAAAATTTTTTGTTGTTCCGTCTTGACCGTCCTTGTCCGACTCCACCAGTTTTCATGGACCCTTCCGCAATGTGTCTGTCCTTGAAGTGAAAAGGTATGATTTTGCATAACAGCTATCAGTTTTCATCAAAACTGGCTCTCTGTGCAGGGTTGAGTGCAGCTGCTCGTCGAGCGCTGATATACTTCAGATACCGGGCTGCAAAGGTAGGAGGAAAAAGACAGACCGTCGTCGTTAAAGCATCTTTGTACATCCGGCGTAACCCTCATCTAGTAGGGACACAAACAAGTAAAACCGGGTTTAAATGTAGAGTTTCAGGACATCACGGTTGCATCCTGGGGAGGTCTCTCTGGATTCCAATGTCTGGGGCGTGTTACGCATACCACTAAATCTACTTCTCTGGCCTCTGATGTCTGCCGGAGCACGTAATGAACGGTAGAGAACCAGGTGTTTTCACTTTCAGTTTTTACAACCATTGACCATGCACTTTCGTTGCGTCGGTTTTGGTTGTTGTCTTTCGGCCGCCCATTTGGGTAAAAGAGCAGAATGAAGATTGGAATGTTGTGAGCAAATTCAAGGGGAAGATGGAGAATTCATATGGACTGAGGTTGCAAGAATATTGAATAGATGCACGAGCGCCACTGCGACATCCAGCCACATCACTCAGCGTCTCTAACCACCTGTTACCATGATCTAGGGGACCTCACCGGGAGAGCCTGACGTTACCTATATAATCCAATTTCTTGCCTATGATTTTCATACCCTTATACCAGGTCAAAGTTTGACCGCCGTTGACCTTTTCCCATCCGCCACCTGCCTCGGTGGTGGTCAGACTAATACCCAACACTGGTATGGAACTCTGACCAGGTCGATCTGGTTTATCGGTTGTGGACCTCAGGATCCGTGAAATCCGTGATGCGAAACACTAAGCAATGTGGCCGTTTACTCCTCCGTCCAAAAAGGCAAAAGGCATTAAACAAAACTACCACGTGGAAGTGAAAGGTATAGGCCTAAGGAGGATGTACATTATTCCCTTCGTTTTTAATCTGATTGTCCCCTATTCCCTTTTTCGGTCTCTCTCTCTGTTTCATACTATATCAAACTGAACGACAGACCGCTGGGCAGTTTTCTGGCCGTTGATCGGAATCATACTTGAGGTCATTGTTATGGTCGTAGTCATATTCATGTACGAGATGAAACGACGAGCCAGTAAAAAACGTGAATCCGAATTGAACGGTGATTTGGATGTGGCCTCAAAACCTGCGGGAATTCGCTACAGTGGTGGTACAGCGACAGATGACATGTGAGTAACTATGGATTTGCGGGATTTTTTGGATGGTAGTTTATCTTACACAAAAATGTTTAAAGGCGTACTTGGAATTCTTTCACCACTAGGGAAATATTCTTGAAGGGTAAACTTAATGTTATTGCACTCCATGATACCTATCACCTTATGGTTGCTTATTAAAAGCTTTGTGTATGCTGGGGTCACTGGGTGAACGGAAGATAATGTCCCCATAAATGCTGTTTGTGGAAATCACGAATAATTACAAACGTAACATATATATTCGCAGTCGTCAGGACAGTCCCGCTCTGTTTCTCTCCACCCATATCAAGATTATGAGTTCATGCTGATGAACTCATAATCTCGATTTATAGACTTATCTGGGATGAAGAAACAAGGAGAATAAAATCAGTTTTCATTTTATGAAGAATTTGTTACCGCATTACAAAATTCAACTGCCATCGCGGAGCACAGTCTTATAGCGTACGTTTATTTTGTTTACAGGCTCCTCCGACAACGAATGTAACGCACAGATTGACCATCTGCTATCTGAATCCATCCGATCCAGCAATGCCACGAACTGACACGCTGTGCGTGTTCGTGTATCCAGATGCATTTAGCTTTGCATTGGCTATCCGAGCAATCCAGTTCCCCTGTCTTTTTATTGCCAGATGTTGAGTTGAAAACAGTAAAGTGAATTTCACGACCCTATGATTCAATCGTGGTTTTCATTTTCTTCTAGTTCCCTCTTCCTGTCACCTCAATTTTGACATTTATTCGGGTTTTCTACACCGATACGTGTTCGTGTATTCCTTAATAATGGTCCGGTACAACATGATATCCCCGTTTTGCACACGCATGTCATCTCTCCCTCTCCCACGCAGCCCTCCCGATTCTCATAGTCGGATCGTCTGAAATGGCTGTACTAGTTACGCTATCTAACCTGATTTTAGATTTAATGGTTTCCTCATGTGTATTTATAAACTGGAAATTTCTTCGAGATCGTTTTTCATATTCACCACCACACGTTCGTCGTGGTGCACTGCGTTTTCATTCTTAATCTCTCCGTGACCCGGTCACGTGCACCTGACTGGCGGCGATTGTGACCTACTCAACCATCGCGTCGCTTATGACAATCACTGTTCTGGCCCGCTCCTTTATCTCCTAAGTGCATTCATTTTACAATGCGAATTACGAATACAGAAGTTGTTCATTTCTGGCGTTGATTCTAGTCTTTTTCATTGCATTTCAAATCACCTCCTATAACTTCAAATGGTTTCCTCGTTTTCCACTCTCATTCACTGATCTTTTATTACCATCCTCATTGTGACCACGGATAGACTGTACGAGGTCTCACTTCGCTCCTCCCGATCCCCGTCCATATCCGCCAGTTTATCCTGTAACTCCTGCGCAACACCACATTCGCTGTTTGAAGAGATTCCTTGCATAATGCACGTTGACTGTTCACTCGTTCACACACGCCTTACCTTCGAACCCTTCAACATTTCACTTTGAATTCGCACGCCCATTTCTTAGCCTTTTAGTCAATTCCGAATACCTTGTTTCTTTGCGGACCAATAGCGAGTTAGATAGCTAAACTTTTAGCCCAAGGATGACATTTTTCTCTTTTGCTCACTTACTGGGCCGAGTTTATTTACCAAAAAACCATCTCCCCCTATCCTTTGTTTGTTCACCCCGCATTCACTGGAATTTTACGAAACCCATGCATTAAGGGAGATGTGGGTTGTGGCGGCGGGATGACTGGTTGCTTTACCATTAATGTGATTCTCCTACCCCCGATCGATCTCGTTTGTGCATATGCATTTGTGAACTTGCATCATTTACCCTGTTTTGGTATTGTGCTATATATCCTACTAGTTGCTCACACCGTTTCCTCCACTCATATCCATTTAATCGGTACCTCATCTACTGTCATCAATAATTCCTTCGCAATTACCATCATCCAACACGGCGGCCGAAATGGAGACAACGAGAACCAAACTACCACTGTGATATTTTGGTGTTAGTCCAATCCGGCTGTGCGCTGTGCGCAGGTATCTCACACAGAACTGCATTTCACTGATGCTCATCGCTTCCGTCGTATACAAATCAGCATTCTCGTTCCGCTTTTTCTCTTCCTTTCTCCTATGTAGATGAAGTCGAACAGTCAGCTGTAATATTAGAACTACCGCAGAAGATAAACATGGTATGCACATATATCAGCATATAAATATATACATTCAGTCTACATGCATTAATATACTATGCATACTATACAGATTTTCAGGCACCTCACCAACACAGTAACAAAATACACTATATAATATGACTTGTTGGTTTTCGATATACGGCCTCGGATGGCTTTCGCATTTGATTTCTCTCCTTCCTCCTTCTGTCTCTCCTTTGACGTCACTAGTTTCTTTCGACGTGAGCCGCCGATACTCTTAGGTACACATTGGTAATCGTTGGTAATTGATATTATTGGTCAAAATGGGAAACTCCACCCCACCGGGACAAATCATACAAACCTATCTAATTGGTTTAGGACTGTGCTGAAGAATGCAAAAACGAAATGGAATATATCCAGATACCCATTTCACCTGTTCGCCGTGCTTGGCAATTTGTTTGCAATTTGCAATTTGTTTGTTTCATCACCAGCCGAGGTGACATCATCAGTGCTTGTGAAGATACTCAATTAACATGTAGTCAATTGAGGAAAATGTATTTGGAAGGAAACTCAGTTGGTATTTAGTAGACTCACCTTTACTGGTATTGACAGCACCTCTTCTGCGTGGCGAATTGTCGCCAATGCTTCATATGTAACCCTGAGAGCTTTGTTCTCAGAAGCTTGTAAGCACGTTCCCAGACTCACCGGGTTGAAATGCTCCCTTCAGCGTTCTTCAGGAATAAGATAATGATCTAGCGGATAATGATACTCAACGAACGCTGGCTGCTCTCTGTTTGATCGGCCGTGTTGACACCAATGGGGCGTTACCGTCTTGGAATTAATCATGATTCCGTCAATGAGAATCAGTTCGCTTTTCTCACTTACACCGTAACAAAAAAACCTGTCAATTTACTTCCATTTGTGCACTTCTATCAGGTCAATTTGCATATTCTCATTTTTACATCTGTCATTCGTAGGTGCTACCTTTCTCCATTGTGTCACACAATATTACCTCATTGTGTTCCATGCCNCATGCCAGCGACACCGATTCATCACCCACACGAAACACGCGTCTCGTTAATCGTCGGTCATTCAACGAATCATCACCAACCTTCGTGCATTCAGACCACAGGTGGACATACGACTCTGTGTTATGAACCGGAGAAGGAAAGCGCATTCCTTTTTTAACGATAATTAGGTCCTTAGCAGACACCGAAATGTCTTTTGTTGTGGCCTTCCGCTTACCACGCACATATGGTCGATCATTACCAGGCAGATGAGGGCATGCACCGGTTTGCTTGTATCATTTTATCTACATGTTCTCCTTTGAGTCTTGATTTGTCCAATATCTCCGATGAACTTCTTGGTTTTCCACACACTGATAACCTGACAAATAACGCTACTCTTTCATGTTCTTTCCGAACCGAAATAAACGTATATTGAATGCCACCTTCTCCCCATAAGTGTGTATGTGTGTGAATAGAAGCCAACTGATGTGCTTGAGATAGTTCATGAATATGAATGTTTCTCGTTATTTATGAATTGTGAGCACCCCTCTAGAGGAGTGGGTTATATATGGAGTTGTGTGTAAGTTGTTGTGGTGGAGAAGGGCTCATTTTCTCACGATGCACTTTACTTGCATGTTATTTCGATCGTACCAGAGATCAAACGTTCGTAACTGAAGTAAACACCATTACAAATTTCCTTGGAGAAACATTTCATACCACTAGGTTTTAGGAGCTCCCAAGGAATGAAACTTATCTACTAGCATACAAGAATCCATAAACTGTTTGCAGTACCTGTGAAATTAAACGGTCTGTTCTGAAAACAATGCGTTAAATGGAAGTGAGTATTAGAGCAAACTGTTGCCGTTTCTTTCTTTTTTTACTATTCTGACAGAGAAGCCGGAACATCGGTTTTCTTGCTCTCTTGATACTGTTAATTTTGGATGACTTACAGTTTCAGTCTTAGTTTCGCGTTTTAGTCGATTAATAGGTATGCACATCTTGTGTATTTGTTTTACATTCCAAATCGTTTCCGGTTGATTTTTACCGCCAGTTTTATTTCTTTCTTTGTATAGCCACTCCTACTACCTGATCGTTTTACATTTCTCCGACTTCATGGCTCAGGAAAGCCACTTTTTCCCCTCAAGCTTAGCCCAAACCGGCAATGCTTTAGGCCCGACCAACAATACGTTAGTCTTGACTGACATTCCTTTAATCGAAACGTGCAATACTCTAGCCACGACCCGTTATCCTTTAGCCTCAATGCACACACTTTAGTCGTACCGCTGTAGTTGAGTCAGATTACCGCGGAGTTGACCTTCTAATTCTAAATTCACCATAACTGATTACTCCCATGTGCTATATATGTACCTGTTTGTTTTAAGTCAGCAACTGAGAAGATTAAAATGTTAACATCTCGCCACATTTATCTTCTTTCTGTTTTGATGAAATGGATAAAAGGAACTCAGTGCTTCAAAGGTCAAAATGTATCGGAATATTTTGAGGTCAACAAATGTTGAAACATTTTATTTTCTACAAATTTGGATGTTGCAAAGCTTGATTAATTAATGAGGTGTGGCGATCGTATCTGCACCACATGTTGATTGTTCATGAGAGATGGATACACTAACAGGCTAGGGATAATAAATATCGTTCAGAAAGATGCCCCCAATACCATCATTAATTTGTTAACTGTAACATTGGTCATGATTACCACAGTCGAGGCTCAAAAATACGAGTTTTGTCTAAAGCTTGATGAAGAAAGGTGTGATAAGGGGGTGTCTTTTGTAGACGGTGTTTATTATCCTCGGTATCACTCAATGAAGCTTTGTAACAGCAACATTTCCGGAAAACAAAATGTTTCAACATTCACCGACCCTAGACTAGCCCGATATTTTTATCTGACTCGCCTACAGCGGTATGACAAATTTGTGCGTCGAGGCTAAAAGAATACTGGTTTTGGCTAACCTTAATGGGAAAAGGTGTAGATGAATCATGCGGAAGGTTTGATTAAAAGTCTTCTTTCGGTTATTTCCTTCAACTGTTTTTCCTTCGCACGCTGTGCCTATTTTTGCATCGCTTTTTGGGGCTGTCCACTCATCGGGTCAACCATTGAGACACAGTTAAAGTGAATGAGCGCGATAAAAACAACGCCTATGAAATATGAAAAAAAACACTGTCTGTATAAAGAAAGTGAGTGACTATCTGACCGCCACTTTCGGCCATACGCCACTCTATCATTCAATTTCTCTCATCGATTGAACTGATTCACCAACCTACAAATACGATCAATGGGATAACTCCACCACTCAAGGTTTCAACTTTGCTTCAATCCCACCGGGTCACTCTTCATCTTCCAACTACGGCCTGCCACAACAGTCCATTTGATAACATTAATGTTAATGTGTGGATGTTAGGGATTCGCGTTCGGCCTTGATAACAAGTACGTACGGTTGTGTCTAACTTTTTTTACTGTTTCTCCGCTTGTCCCACCGGACTGGTGCATGGACATGGGTACTCGGACCTTGATAGTATGTGTTTAGTTTCTCTCTAATTGTAGGATCAAATGAACTGCTGTAATCTTAACGCGATTGTTTGTGGATCACTGCATGTCCCAGCGACGTGATGGAGGCCTCACGTTGGCTTTCTGTATGCTTGACGACACTAGCCGAGCTTCGGTGGCTGAGAAAGTTCACGTTACCGTCTCATTTTAATTATCCATCTATTCACTTTACTTTTCCACTTGGAAGTCGGTTATGCCTGATGGGTAAACAATTTCTTATTTTCTGTTTGGCTTCGTTTGCCAGTTTCCTTTTGGACAGCCAACAAACCGATGGCTTCAATGCTCCGGTTTTTATCACTGTCATTCATCTGCTCAATTAGTGGGGAAAGGTGTGAGATTTTTAAGAGAAGCTTATAGCGTTGAAAAGGTTAAGGTACCAAATTTAAATTTTTATTATGGGTAAATTACGAAGCTGATACTTATTAAATCCTATGGGTTTTATACATACTGGGTTCGGTTGGTAGTACAAGTAAATAGCAAATTATAACGTTCACTTAGCGGTGCTGAACAGCTAGGTGTTCAATGCATCATCGAGCCGTGGCTTGAATGAATCGATGGTTGAAGCACAAACAACTTGAGGTGGAGGGGAGTTCCAGGTTTTAAACCTCCGAAGTTGAAAGAGTGATACCTGCAGTCTAGCCCGACCCTTTTTGGGCAAAACTTGAAATGGATGTCCTCTTAGGTGACGATTCCTGGATCGTGTTAGTAGGGTACTAAAGGGGTGGTTAGCCGATGTAGTATTTGCTATACGAGGATCATGTCTCCGCATATTTGACGATATTCAGCATACGTAGTTGAACAGCTGCTGGCAGAACCAAACGTCAATTATCACAACGGATGGCCGAACACATTCCAAAGTGGTTGGCGAAGTCGATTCCGCAACCCACGCCCAGTAATCAGGCGGTCACAAGCAACTCGGGGTCTAAACATCTCATGACAACCAAACGCAATTGATCCGGCGTCTTCCTTCGAACCGTTGCTACGTTACTGCAGTGCAAAACTGCAATAACTGATGCGTTGCTAATCAGATTAGATCCATTCTATGCGCCCAATAGTTGTTGACGGAATCAGTTCACGTGCCGTGGAGTTGACCTCTTGTTTTTACTTCTAATGACCTCTATCTGTCTGTACATGTCCGTTCACTAGGATTTACCAATCCAATGTGTTATGCATGTGCTTGTTTGTTTCGTCAACGATTAGGAAGATTAAACGAAATATTAACATCTCGCGACACATGTCTTCTTTCGATCTTTTTGCGATGGATCAAGAGGACCCAATGTTTCAAAGTAAGCGTTACAGAAGTTTAAAGTTGATAGGCAGTGTATTAGTTTTGAGCACGCGCAAAGACACTGCGAAAGATTTGTTAACTGAAAGATTTAACTACCTAAGTGTGAAAATTGATCCGCTTTCTCTATCTCCCGGTTGAAGCAAAATTTAGACTTCGGTTGATGCACAAATTGATACTACAATTCTCTACTGGATAGTGATAACCAGCTAGATATGTTGCCTAGCCTGGCTGATAAACGTTTGCGAATAATACTTTCAGCTCGGAGAACACACCAACACCAACAGTGAAAACCAGTGTTGCGTGTTTTCGTTTATGTGTCAAACTTCTGTGGTTTGATACTTAAACTCCTGGTAAGACAATTTTTGATCTGATCCGCCTCCCCGGGGTTGTCAAGTGGGTAGTGTTATTGCGTTCTGCCTACGAGGTCCCCGATTCGATGGATTAGCACTTGCGATGAAACGAAAACAGGTCGAAACAGCTGTGCAGTGCCGCCTGACTTTTCAGTTTACACAGTCCTGAGATAGTGACCGGAAACGGCGCACGTAAGTGCGTATTCAATGGTTGTAAAATATGAAAACAGTTCACACTTCATCTACTCCGTACACTACGAGGTCCACTGGATGAACTTCTTATCTCTTGACATGCTTCCGGTTCCTTGCATAAGTGGTGAAAATTTCATCCGGAAGATTTCGCTTTCGGTCTCTTTCAGTACAGAAATCGCTAAAGAATTTTGCCGATGTCCCCTTAAAGTCACCCAGATAGTTCAATGTGTGCACTCTTCAAATGCCATTCACTGCGCCTGGTTTACCAGTGTTTCGCTCAGGACGCTGATTTGCTTTCAAAATGTTTTGAATCTAAGCGTGTATTCCTCTGTTTCGTTGAGTGACTGTCCTCGGCAAATCACTCCGGTCTTAGCTCACCTTGTTTCAACGGGCTCACTTGTTGTCACCGAGCGGCGTTTGTAGTTGCATTTTTTCAGTTGATGCTTTATGGGGACATCTTTCAAACGTGGAAACCGGATCTAATTCAACTTCGATGTACGTCCTGCTAGCTTCCTATTCCATTAAGGAGTCATATGATTCTACATTCAAAGTTCTAGGGCATAAACTGTAGGGTCCACTCACACAAGTATGAAAGTACAATGGCAAAATACTCACTCGAGCATTCAGACGAATACTTTTTGCTGGTCTGTGGCCTCACTGTTATTCAGCTCAATACCATCTCTATCCTATCCTGTCGGGCCTTAGGTGGTTCACTATTACCAAGTTTTAGGTTACTGGTTCTCGCAGCCAAAACACCAGGTCCTCATCATTATGCGGTCATTGTCCGTTTTATGTTGATGTGTAGCATAAAGGGTGTGGTAAGATGACTTCTACTTCGTTATGCTCTTGGGTGCACACTGTTGCACATGATTTATAATGATGTTTGTAGTTGACTTTTGATACATCGGTTGTGATTGCTTAGGCTTCTCGTTAGACTATCTGACAGTCAACCCACATAAGAAAATTGGGAATTTCCGATAGATTACTTTTTGGAGATGTATGTATCTCCTCCTGTTTAAGCTTCACCGATAAGCCACATGTACCTTCCCTATTCCAGCTACTCTAATGTCAACTCTTTCGCCCAAATCGAGCGCCGAGTTCATCAGTTCCAACGCCCAGCATGCTCGCATCGATGAACTCGGTGTTGAAAACCTAGCAAATGAGGTTGATTACTTTATTTACTTAACAATGTCCGTCACTTCAGATTGTGAACAACTTTGCCGCCTCAGACTACGGAATCCACTCGTGGATGGCTGAAGAATTGACCCCCAGTTCAGCTAATGATCAAGCGGTCGAATGGTGAGTGCAAACCTTAAGTAAAACTTATCAAAATGCATTATTCTTCTTGCATACAGGATATTTGTCACAGATTTATTGAATTTTTCTTTTTGGAACAAACCAAGCTACACCGTGGAATATCGAGGCAAACAACACACTGGGTATTGGGCTCTGTGTGCAGCCGTAAATCGAGCAATCGAGGTCTGTGTGTCTCCTAGTCCTATCATTGCATTCCTCATTTGGTCATGGTGTTCCAGGATGGTGTCGATTTATTAGACCCCAAAGTGTATGGAAATATTTCGGCATCAGATTTGCGTCATTTATTTCGTCCTACTGCTGACTCTTTTGAAATTCCTTTGTTCGAGGAAAGACTGCGTTTGTTACACGAGGCGGGCGAAACTCTTTTAAATCGTTTTGAAGGGAAATTTTTGAATGTCGTTCAATTGGCTAACCATTCTGCGGTACGGCTGTTAAACCTACTGTGCGATTACTTTCCTTCGTTTCGGGATACGGCGCATTTTCGTGGCAAAGAAGGTAACCGTCAAACTGTCGCTTCCTCTCTCAACTTTGTATCAAAATTAGTCTCGTTCTTAAAGCGGGCTCAGATACTGGTCGGGGACTTGTGGTCTTGCTTTGGTGGCAAAGGAGTCGGCATGTTTACCGACATTGATGAGATAACTGCTTTTGCAGACTACCGGTGAGTGATCTCTCAAAGAGTTTGGTCTCATTTATTCATATGCTCCCCCTGTCTAGAATACCGCAAGTTCTGGTTTATTTCGGTGTGCTTCATTATGACACAGAGCTATGTAGTTTATTGCGAAACGGTAAGTTGTGATATCTATCTATCTATCTATCTATCTATCTATCTATCTATCTATCTATCTATCTATCTATATATTATCTATCTATCTATCTATCTATCTATCTATCTATCTATCTATCTATCTATCTATCTAAAATAGATTTAAAAAAAATAGTGGTTGTGTTTATTTTGCACAGCCTGCACAACAGCGCAACCTTGTTCGGTCAGTATGTTTTGCCGATCTTGGAATACTTCTTGGGGCAGATTAGAAGTGTGTGTGTGTGTGTGTTTAAGTGCAGGCATAGAATCTCCTGGAACGGTTACCTCCAGACTGAATTCTAAGAGGTATAAAACTTCTTGACTTTGTTGGCTGGATTCCTCTGCATATATACCATGATGGATCTCTGCGTGTGGCACTCTTCATCGGCGATATGATAATAATTGAACTAAAATCTGGAACAGCCGAAAGAGACTGCAATTTTGTTGAGTCACTAAGTTGCGTGCATCATGTACTGAAAAAATCTGCTTCTAGGAAGTAAAGGCGCGTGATGATGAACGCTATTATTAATCATAACGAACTGGCAAGCTCCAAGGTAAGTCCGTATACATAAATCGTTTCCATCATGCAAAACAGAAGAAACCTTCAGTAACGAATGTTGTATGTTTTTAAAATAATAAACTAAATACGCAATTAGAGGAACATTTAATTTTTTTTTGGATAAGTTTGTAAGTAACCATTTTTCGGGAATTTGAATAAAATAATTTGTTTATTTAAAATTCGGTTGGCATCGGTCGAATGGTATCTTCCATAAAAGCAGCAAAGTTGTTTACCCCCTCTCCACCCTCCGAACCAATAACAACCAAACGGCGGTTCTGACTGTTTTCTAACTTGATCGCCCTCTTTGTTTTCACTGATTCTACCGGAAACCGATCAATACTTTCTATACAGCCAACGCAGATCGACATCAGTGCTGCCGTTATCAATCATGCTTTTAGCGATTGTTTATACCTATCAAGTGATGACAGCTTTTGCCTAACTCGTCTTTGGTGCATAAATGCACACACATACAGACAGTCTCTCTCTCTCTCTCTCTCTCTCTGAGGTTCCCTTACTCTACCAATTTAGGATGTCATTCTCACTGTTGTAATGTTTTCTCAACTAGCACCGCCGTCATATGGATTTTTTCAATAAATCCGTTCGTGTTTAGGTATACTGCCGCATTCCAACGAGCCGAGGTCTATTCTCACTTTTCCAGATGCCTGTTTTATGCCTAAGTCGATCACAGTGGTCTCTCAGCTCTCAGTCCGTTTAACAGTTTGCTCTCACGATCAATCGGGCAACCTCCAGCTGATGTTGTGTGATCGTACTCAACCTTGACCACCCGCTTAGCATTACATAACCTTACTGGCCGGTTACTAGATACTTGAATATATATATATATATATATATATTCAAAATATTCACGGGTTTAACTTGAATTGTGAAAACGGTAAAGCAGAAAACAAAAAATCAGTCAACCTTGGGACTACCAATTGTTTTGTTTCTTTGTCGCACGCCATTTGAGTTTTAGTTTTGGGGTCGCGCACAGATAAGGTTGCGTTCGCACCACTGAATTCGTTTCGATTCCGTATCCCGCAGTGTCTCTAGCCAAAGACAGTCTGAATCTTTAGGGCCCCTGCCGGGTATCTGAGAGGCCCCAACGGAAGTCAAATGCGATCACAATCTCTTTAACTCTCTAAGCCACGCCATAGCTTGCCCACCTCGCTGTTCCAGCCTGGATCGATGTCTGCAAATAGCGCATGGTATGCCAGAAGTTGTTCAGGCATTCGTAGGGCGTGCCCTAGCCACCTGGGACGATACAGCGAAATTATTTCGCTCAACGGAAGATTATCTGATCCTAGCAAACATCATCTGACCTCATCGTTATTCACGCTATGCTCCCACCATACGCGAGCAATGTTGCGCAGATAAGAGTTGTCGAATACGGACACTGAAAGGGATATATCTTACCGGCGCCAGAGATGCCGCAGATTAGCAAATGTCAATCTAGCCTTCATTACGCTCGCCCACATTTCCGGCAACCGTTATACAACTCCCGAAGTAGGCAAAGTTTTCGACTACTTCAAGGGTGTCATTACCCAACGAATGTGCAGGAACGGGTTCCTGCCAATCGTGCAACAACACTTTGCTGTTTCAAGGTGCAAAGGACATACCATAGCGAGTAACCTCAATTATCAAACAACTTAGCGTGTTTTGAATCACCGCAATCAGAAAGATAAACAGGTTTTTTAAATAACGAAGCCTAACCGGCTGTCCTTTACCGAGTTGAGTAAACATTATTCAAACAGGTGAAGGAATAATTTCCTGACTTAACGAGATATGGTTATGCGTAACTTGCCGTGGTGCAATAAACAGGATCGATCCGGTTTGGTATCATCCAGCGGCCAATAGGAAGAGGTTTGGCAAGGCATCCCTTTAGACCAGTCGTTAGCAAGTGAGGATTAGGTCAGTTTGAATGTAATGCACGAGAAATTCAATTGCGAGATAACTCATTTTAAACTAAATTTTCACTTTGAATCCCAGGAGTCCGTTTGCGTCATCACTCTTAGTATTCAGTCAGACTCACTGGTTTCTTTTTTTGGTGAGCGGGTGGTCTAGATCGTAATCACACCAAAATTAGTGGGTGGCTTTTCCAAGACATGCGTTGTGTATTATTATCATCAGTAGTGGTAACTTAGACAAAATTTATTTATTATTCAACTTATGCATTTGGTAAAGTATTTCAGTTTATATGCAGGTATCATGATGATTCATCCACGTGGAGAATCTCCGAACGACGGAAATTGTTTATATCGTATCAGCTACCGGATATGGCTTATTTCCAACTCGGTCCCGTGTGACATTTTACATTTCATGCTTTCTTTTCTGTTGCATCCAATATCACGTTATTAGTTCGACTATGATATCGGTTCACGGGCCACTTCATTGTCATGTGTGCTGTAAGAATGGTCAATATGATGTTATTTAATCATCAACATGTGGACGAGTATACGTGCTTGTAGTTCAGTCGAGTCACGCGGTGCGGAAAACGCGTTGACCTGGATACTAATTATGAACCGTACTGTATTTGGTGCGAGTAAACTCACCAAGCTCTAGAAATAGTAAACCATTGTAACTAGGTTTAAACTATTACTGAGATGTTTCTGTTTAAAATTCTTCTGGGGACAAAACGACTAGAGTTGATAAAACGGCCCACCGGTGATGATCCCCAGGAACCTGGCTAATTCTTGAAACTATATAATTTCAGTTTATGCAACCGCATAAGTCACTAAAATAATGATATGAGCGCGGATAAAGTACAACATCGGGTTGTCACAAACTTAGGGCAGGGGTGGTCCCGGTAAAACATTAGAGGTTGCGTTTTCATGAAATCCCGTGTTCAACTGTTGTCAATACGTTGGGCTTTTCTTCACTGTAGTCATGTTTAACACTGAGAAACAGAATTATAATTGTAGTTGGTGAATTTTTACCCGCGCAAGGTCGCAAATGCTTTATACGTGCTTCCCGCTCATTTGTCCCACTCGGTTCCAATGTTTCGCTTCACCTTACAGGACAATTGATTCCAAACGGTAGTGAATGGGAAGTGGAAATCCGAGGCTGTTCACTGCAGGCGATCGAGGTGAGAGTTTATTCAAATACGTATTGTCTGAAGCGCGCTCTATCGGGTGTGCTTGGTTTGCATACCAGTTTCGCAATAATCTGTTGTTTAGTTTGATGATCGCTTTTGATGCAAAGTGCAATGTTGCAATCGATCTCTCTCTGTTCGTTTGGCGTTCTCTCTCTCATCCGCTTGTTGTTTGTGTATTGTACATTTTCTCTCTCTCTCTTTCCTTTGCTCCCATCGTTTCATATCTTCACGCCAATATATATTGAATTAAGTTTATATAATTTTCTGGTGGGTGGAGTAAACATGACGGGAACAAATTATGAATTCTGCTCCTTAGAATGGGTAGTTTTGAGAACGGCCCAAAATATGTATTATTCACGGTATCAGTCGGAATCGAACGTATTTATAGTCTGAAAGAACATTCTAACGAGGCAAAATCAATAAAATGTTTTTTTTTTCACGTGCTGTTCCGATTATCCGACAGGAGTTTCCGCTTACTGCGTCTAATCCCTTTTGACCTAACAAATTCCATTGATCTACGTATATCATTCTTGTGCAATGCTTCTTCCAGATTGGTTGTTTTTGGTTTTGCCTTCTGTGCTTCGAAACTCTCATTCTCGACTGAATAATTCACCTTACTGCCTAGTAGTGTCTGAGTCCAAATGACGGTGTCTGTCTAGCATCTCTGTCCCGGTGCAAATTCTTCAATTGACCCCCGTACCGCGCCAGGGGCTGGAAACGAGATTCTCAAGAAACTGCTCTTCCAAAACAGTGACGCAACATAGACGTGTAATTTCATTATTTTCATCATCATTGTTTGATCTGCCATACCGATTTAGCAAATCGTAATCGTCCACTCTCTTTCTGTCTCCGTCACACTTTTTCCGATTGAGATGATTTATTAACCGTTTCTGATCGATCGATGTGATAGCCGATCGCTTGCCTGATGCATACATCCACACGGACGCTCCCTCATACACCCACACACAAATACACAATTTCTCTGCTACATTGATAAAGAACTTGAATCATATGTACTAGCCGGGGTCGTTCAAGACAACCCTTTGGACGCTGTTACGATGTACTTAGAAGGATGTCAGGCAACGATTCTAGTCAATGTGAATCCGAACATGGTTCCAAAAATACTCATCGTCGCATAAGTAAGACTACCGTTTGTCGAGATAGCTAAGTTGGACGGCACCCCGAAACGTTTGTAGAAGCTTCTGAGTAGCTTTAAGGCGAACATGGTTAGCTGCTCGCTCAATGATGGAGAGCTATTATGTTAACTGATCCAGTTCTTTGCCGCCGAAGCCAGGGAAGCTGTAGAAGACTATGATTTGTTACCATCGTTAGAAGGAAACTCGTGGGTGATCCATGATTTGGATGGATAATTCGGATGTCCGGATGATGTTGCAGAGAGTTTCTTGGGTGCATTATGCAGGGGCAGTAGAATCATACCGAGTGATGTCAGTGGTATTCGGAAGCTCCTGTGGGAAGTCGTCAATGGCGAAATTCCCCCAAACATTCATCGGACACGGATCAATTCTCAACCACCCAACTACAGTAAAAGGTGTCGGGAGACGCCTTCCAGAGTTT